TGCTAGTATATCCCTTCTCAAGTAAGGAGACCAAAACCGCACACAGTACTCCAGGTGTGGCCTCACCAGGACCCTATATAGCTGCAGCATAGCCTCCATGTTTTTAAATTCTATCCCTCTAGCAACGGCAGACAAAATTCCATTTGCCTTTTTAATCACCTGCTGCACCTGCAATCCTACTTTTAGCGATTCATGCACAAGGACAGCCAGGTCCCTCTGCGCAGCAGCATGCTACAATTTTTTTTACTATTTAAAACATTGTCCATTTTGCTGTTATTCCTACCAAAATGGATGACCTCGCACTTATCAACATTGTACTCCATCTGCCAGACCTTTGCCCACTCACTTAGACTATCTATATCCCTCTGCACACTTTGCTGTACCACTCATCTTAGTGTCATTTGCAAATTTTGACACACCACACTTAGTCCCCAACTCTAAATCATCTTTGTAAATTGTAAACAATTGCGGTTCCAACACTGATCCCTGAGGCACACCACTAGCTACTGACCGCCAACCAGTAAAACACCCATTTACCCGTACTCTTCGCTTTCTACTAGTCAACCAATCCTCTCTCCATGCCAATACATTACCTGTAATACCGTGCATCTTTATCTTGCGTAGCAGCCTTTGGTGTGCCACCTTGTCAAATGCCTTCTGGAAATCCAGATACACCACATCCACAGGTTCCCCATTGTCCACGTAAATGTCCTCAAAGAATTCCACCAAATTAGTTAAACATGACCTACCCTTCATGAACCCATGCTGGGTGTTCCTGATGGGACAATTTATATCCAGATGTCTTGCTACTTCTTGCTTAATGATAGATTCAAGCATTTTCCTCACTACCAAAGTTGTTAACTGGCCTATAGTTACCTGCTTTTTGTCTACTTCCTTTTTTAAACCGTGGCGTCGCATTGGCTGTTTTCCGATCTGCAGGAACCACCCCAGAGTCCAGTGAATTTTGGTAAATAATTACTACTGCATTTGCAATTTTCCCCTATCACCTCTTTTTTAACCCTGGGATGCATTTCATCCGGGCCAGGAGACTTGTCTACCTTTAGCCCCATTAGCTTGCCCAGCACTGCCTCCTTAGTGATAATAGTTTCTAGGTCCTCACCTGCTATAACCTTCTTGCCATCAGTTTTGGGCATGTTATTTGTGTCTTCCACTGTGAAGACTGACACAAAATAACTGTTCAATGCCTCGGCTATTTCCTCATTCCTAGTTATTAAATTGGCCTTCTCATCCTCTAAAGGACCAATGTTCGCCACACCTTTTACGATTTACATATTTATAGAAACTTTTGCTGCCTGTTCTTAGATTATGAGAGTAAGCTAGCTCAAAATATATCTTACTTTTCTTTATAACTTTTTTGTGGCTTTCTGTTGGCCTTTAAAGATTTCCCAGTCTACTAGTTTCCCACTAATTTTTGTATGTTTTTTTTTTAATCTGATACTTCTCTTTATTTCCTTAGTCAGCCATTTCTTTTCAGTCAGTCTATTTCTTTTCCTACAGTTCTTCCTTATCACTGGAATATACTTCTGCTGAGCATGATGGTTAAAGTCACCCATGATTGATGTGCTACCTTTTTAACATGCTCTGATTTATTCGCTGACCTACAGATTAGCTACTGTTAGTGTATCTATAGACAATACATCAGCGTCATCTTTCCCTTTTGTTAGTTCTTATCTCCTCCATATGCATTCTACATCTCCTGATGGGGGTCGTTTCTGGCTATTGTACTTATTATTTCCTGTACTTACAAAGCGACCCCATCACCACCTTTTTCTTTCTGCCTGTCCTTTTGAAACACCACACGCCCCTGAATATTTAGTTCTCTGCTTTGATTTCCTTGTAACCATGTCTCTGTGGCTACAAGATCATACTCTGTAACCTGTTTATACCATTATTCGTTTATTTTGATATGGTTATATGTGCATTTAAGTAAAATGCTGTTAATTTTGTCTTTTTTACTGTCTTTTCCCCATGATCCTATTTGCTTTTGTTTGAAAATGTTTCTACACGGTCTTCCTGTCCCATTATGATATCATTACCCACAAATAGCCTATTACCCAAATAGTTGTTTCATAATACTGCGACATTCCTTTGCTTGACCCCCCCCCCCCCCCCCCCCCCCGCCACTTTGCAGCAGCAGCAATGCAGTACCTACCTGCCATATCCATCATATTGAATATAATTTATCAATTGATCCTCCAATATCCTGCTCTCTGTATTTTTCTTTTAATGAGTATCAATCTTCTATGTTGCAACCCAACTTTGAGAGAAAAACAACTAGAGATATTAAAGGCAAATATTTTTTATTTTTGCTTTAAAGACTGGGAATACTCACCAGCCCTACTTAGCAATCAGCTTCTTTGTTTAGACAAATACAATCAAATATCTCTCTCCTTCCTCCACTTAACATCCTTGAGATGTTCAACTCTGCACTCTGTTGGAAGCTACATCTAGTGCTAAGCTGCAGTAAGTTGGCTACTTACATCAGCTGTCAACATGAGCTAGCTCAGTTCATTTGCTTAATAAGAATCCAGTTTTGTCTGGTTGTTAATTAATTAACTATTTCACTGCAATCTTTTTCTTTTTTAAAAAAAAAGCCTTGTTTGAGGCTGGCATCCGTAACATTTTAAATTATAATTTCAGTCTAACTGGAAGTTCTGGTATCCCCTCATTGGCTGTCAGTTTTGACTTTTGGGGGAAAAAATGCTGGCTAGGAAGCTGCTGAAGGTTGAACTGCAGTTCCTGGTCAAAGTAACCATCAGTAAAGTTTTTTTTTTGGTTTTTGACAAACCTTTCTGAAGTTTGGAAACAGTCAAATGGCAAATTTCTAAAACTCCATTTGGCATTGATTTCTCATCCTCAATCATACGGTGAAGCATTATATTTTGTGATTTATTCGTAAGTGTATTTGTATACATCATAGTGTACTGTCAGATTTACTCAGCAACGAGCATGTGGGCATCACACAAGCGTGAATCAGTTTATTCAAACCAGAGGAGTTTTGTTCAGTTTGGTTTTCACTTGTGGTAATCTGCTTGGTTCTAATGTTACTCTGATGGCCTGCTGTGCTAGAGCCTTTGACAGCCCAGCTGCTATCCCTCTCCCCTGAAGGACAAAGCCATACTATGTCTTGTCAAAATAATGCAGCTTCCATGGCAGGTAAGAAGCTTTATATTGTACATTGATATGTAAAAGACAGGAAAGTATGGTTAAACACTTAAAATCTCTGATTTGACCTCAGCTGTATTATTTACAAAATTACTCGCTTCAGAGTGGATTTGAAGGCTTTGAGGATGTGTTGTAGAATGACACTCCACTTGGGAGATTTTCAGTTTTGTGAAGATATTCTAGTATCCGAGATTTCTTCTTTTCAGAGAAGACCTGTAAAATTACAGAAAATTGGGGCGAGTTGGTGGTGTTGGTAAAATATACTGTTTTGTCTGGCATGCAAGATTAAGCTGCAAGTCATGGATTTAGGATAATTTCGAATGAATTCAATTGGGTGTGAAAGGAAATTCCTTCACACAAAGGATTGTTGAGATCTCGAATCTGTTACATCAATGACAACAGGAAGCAGATTCCATAGAAATTTTCAATCTGCTCTGGAATTTGCACTTAGGACTAATTTGCAGGGCTTGGAGAAAATGTATTGGGGAGGATTAAATTGCTCAGCTTTTGCAAAGGACTTTTAAAAACATGACTTGCTGAACAGCTGCCACTTATGCTTCTAGATTCTGTGATTGACAACCAAGAAGGGAGAAGGGATGCTTGAGGTAGTCAAATCAGAAACTGTTTTTTGGTGCCATAGGGAATTGTGGGAGTCATTCAGTGAACATGCATCGTCCAGCTTATGGCTATTAACTTTTAAGGTTTCAAATGTTAGTGGTGCTTTTAGAGAAATAACAAGCTTGAGAGCCAAAGTAGTAAGAGTCAAAGCATAGTTACTGTTGAAATAAAATCAAAGGGATGGAGAAACTCAGCAGCTCTTGCACTAAGTTGGCAAGCCAGAAGACTAAAATGTAAATTCTGTTGCAGAGAAGAGCATACCTGGAAGAGATTGAAAGTTTAATTGGTGAGTTTCCCCAGCACTTCGGATTTTATATGTCAAATTTATAGCATCTGCAGTATTTTAGACCATAAGTAGGAGCAGAAATAGGCCTTTCAGCCCATTGAGTTCATTCTGACTTTAAGTGAGATCTTGGCTGATCTGATAATCCTCAACTCCACTTTTCTTGCCTTATCCCAAGGAGTGGTTACTGTTGAGTTGTTGATGGAGCTGACAATTTTGTGGCGAGGAAAAGAGTTAGTTGATGGTGAATGTGGTAAACTTGATTGTGACTGCCAACTCTTCTGATGGCAAGGTTTTGTGGGGCAGTTGTGGGAATTTAAAGAGAATATAGGAGAGGGCTAGGTTAAACTTGGGCATGGATAGATCAAATCAGAAGTGCAAATGGAGTATGGGAACTGGCCAGTAGAAATGCTGAACTTTTAAGCTTAGAGAGGACAGGATAGAATGGATGCAGAAATGTTTCCACTCCTAGGAGAAGCTAGGACCTGAGGGCGCAGCCTCAGAGTGAAGGGACAACCCTTTAGAACTGAGGCAAGGAGGAATTTCTTCAACCAGAGGGTGGCGAATCTGTGGGACTCGTTGCCACAGAAGGCTGTGGAAGATGTCATTGAGTGTGTTTAAGATAGAGATAGCCCTTGATTAGTAGGGGATCAAAGATTACAGGAAGAAGGCAGGAAATTGAGGTTGACAAATATACCAGCCATGATTGAATGGTGGAGCAGACCCAATGAGCCGAATGATCTAATTCTGCTCCTATATCTTGTGGTCTAATAGTGAACATTTCCATACCTATTAACAACTAAATTTAATGTTGCAGATTAATGTTTTCTAGCTAAGCAACCTTGGGTATTGAAGAGAAAGGAAATAGCTGGTTGTCCATTTTCCGTCTGAATTCTTTCTGGTTTTGTTGCAGCGCTGGATAGATCAACAGCTCAGAGTGATTGTGGCTTTAAAAGTAAGTGGAGCTGTGAAGAGATAAAGAAAGAAGACTATCCTGTGAATACAGAGAAGAAGTAAGGAGGATTGTTCAAATTACAAACAAATGGTTTCTGGTTTATGTGTAATCTTGTATGAAAACGAGTTTGAGTCATACAGCATGGAAACAGACCCTTTGGTCCAACTAGTCCACACTGACCATGTTCCCAAACTAAATTAATCCCACATGCCTGTGTTTAGCCCATATCCCTCCAAATCTTCCCTATTCATATACTTGCCCAAATGTCGTTTTAAATGTTGTAACTGTACCTGAATCCGCACTTTGTCTGACAGTTCATTCCACACACGTACCACACTCTGCTTTTAAAAAAAAAGTTCCCCCCCCACCCATGTCCTTTTTAAAGCTTTCTTCTCTCTCCTTAAAGATATGCTCCCTAGTTTTGAACACCCTCACCCTAGAGAACAGACCCCCGCTATTCACTTTATCTATGCCCCTCATGATTTTATTAACCTCTAGAAGGTCACCCCTCAACTTCAGATGCTCCAATGAAAAATGTCCCAGCCTATCCAGCCTATTTTTGTAACTCAAGCACTCCATTCCCAGCAACAGCCTGGTAAATCTGGTAAAGCGATCAGAAATGCACTCCAGAAGATGCCTCGTCTACATCCTGTAAAAACCTCAACATGACATCCTAACTCCAATACTCAAAGGCCTGAGCAGCAAAGGCAGGCATGCTAAATGCCTTCTTGATCACCACCCTATCTATATGTGATGCAAACGTCAAAGAATTATGTACCTGAACTCCTAGATATCTCTGTTCTACAGTGCCCTACCATTAATTCATCCACATTAAGCTCTATCTGCTACTCCTCAGCCCATTGATCCAGGTCTCTTTGTAATCTTAGATAACCTTCTTCACTGTCCACTATGCCACCAATTTTGGTGTCATCCTCAAACTTACTAACCATGCCTCCTATACTGTTGTCCAAATTTTTTATATAGAAGACAAACAAAAATGGACCCAGTACCGACCCCTGTCCAACACCACTGGTCTCGGGCCTCCATTCCAAAAAATAACCTTCTGCCACCACCATCATCTGTCTTCTACCTTCGAGTCAATTTTATTTCCAGTTGGCAAGCCCTTCCTGAATCCCATGAGATCTAACTTTATTAATTAGTCTACTATAGTGATGGGAATGAGGGCTAGGGCGATTGCATTGACTAAATTCCTTGATTGGCCCAGGTTAACAACCCCCAATCGGGGAGCCCTGGCTGGCTGATATAAACAGGAGATTCAGAGAGTTTCCTTATTCTAAGCACTGGCTCTGAGCTGGCTAGTCAGAGCCCATATACTTTGCACATGTAAATAAAGGGTGACCTGGTGATGGGATACCAGCCTTTGCAGTTATTTCATCAACCATGTGGAATCTTGTCAAAGGCTTTACTGAAGTCCATGTAAACAATGTCTACTGCTCTGTCCTCATCAATATTTTTGGCTACTTCCTCAAAAAACTCAATCAAGTTTGTGAGACATGACTTCCTTTGCACAAAACCATGTTGACTACCCTTATCAGTTCTTGCCTTTCCAAGCGCATGTAAATCCTATCCTTCAGAATTACCTCCAACTTGCCCACCACCAACATCAAGCTCGCAGGTCTATAGTTCCCAGGCTTTTCCTTGCAACTGCCATTAAATAAAGGCACAACACTATCCACCCTCCAGTCGTCTGGCAGCTCACCCATGGTTATAGATGATACCCATATTTCTGCTAGGGGCCCTGCAATTTCTTCCCTAACTTCCAACAACGTCCTAGGGTACACTTGATCGGATCCCAGAGATTTATCTAAGACCTCCAGCACTACTACTACTGTAATGTGAACTGTTTACAAACATCAATATTGATTTCCCTGAGTTCTCTAGCTTCTGTTTCTTTCTCCACAGTTAAAAACTGATGCAAAATATTCTTTTAGTATCTCTCCATCACCTTGAGGTTCAACACATAGACGACTTTGTTGATCTTTAAGGGGCCCCATTCTCACTCTTGTTCTTTTACTCTTATACCATCTCTTTTGATTATCCTTAACCTTATCTGCCAAGACTATCTCATCTTCTCTGCCTTCCTGATTTCCCTCTGAAGAAGGCCCCTACACTCTTTACACTCTACAAGAGATTCATTTGATGTTTTAGAGCAGATTTGTAGTTCAGGTTGTGGTTGGTTGGCTTGCCGAGCTGGTTTGTTTTTCCACAGGCGTTTCATTACCCTGCTGGGTAACATTGTCAGTGCAGCCTCTAGTGCAGTGCTGTTGTGTTTTCCCGTTGTGTATATGGGGTTGAGCTCTGTGTTTGTTGACTAGGTACTCCACAAAGAAAGCCATCAACAAACATGTAGAGCTCGACCCCATATACACTGTACTGCGAAGGAAAACCAGGAGTGAGGTAATTCAGCTCAATGGACTCCAGAGTTCAAATAACAGGTGGGAAAACACAACAGCGCTTCATTGGATATAGCACTGATGATGTTACCCAGCAGGGTAATGAAACATCTGTGGAAAAACAATGAACCAACTAGGCGAGCCAGCCAACCACAAGATTTATTTGATCCCAGTTGTCTATATTCAATATTGATTCTTCTTATTCTTGACTAGAACCTCTATTTTTATTCATCCATTGTTCCCTACTCTTGCCAGTCTTACCCTTCACTCTAACAGGAACATAATGCCTGTGAATGCTCATCATCACACTTCTTTGAAAGCCTCCCACTTGTCAGTCGTCTGTCTACCTGCAGTCTACTCCAATCAACTTCTGAAAGTTCTTGTCTCGTACCATTAAAATTTGCCTTGCTTCAATTGAGGATGTTAACTTTTATGGAAATCTTATCTTTTTCCATAACTATCTTAAAACTAATAGAATTATGTGGAGGTGCCGGTGATAAACTGGGATGGACAAAGTCAGCAGTCACACGACAACCGGTTAGAGTTCAACAGCTTAATTTGAAATTGCAAGCTTTCTGATCACTGCTCCTTCATCAGGTTGACTTCACCTGACAAAGGAGCAGTGATTTCAAATAAACCTGTTGGACTATAACCTCGTGTCGTGAGACTTCTGACCTAAAATAATTATGATCACTAGTCCCAAAGTGTTTCCTTACTAACACTTCAGTCACTTGCCCTGCCTTATTTTCCAAGAGAAGGTTAAGTTTTAGCTAATTTAGTTTTTCATATCTTTGTCACTTTTTAAATATCAAGTTGAAAGCTGAATTTTGTTAGTAAGAAATGCCATTTATTTCCATTACGCCAGAGTTTTGGGAGATTTTGGTTTGTTGGCTCCTTTTCGTGCCTATCCCATGATATCAGTATAAATTTAGATGAAGTGATTTGTGCAATCCAGCTACAAGCAATTTTGCTACAGTTTTCCATTGATCTTTCTGATTCAGACTTAACTCCATTAATATTGAAGAGAGATAGTTACAGGTGATTTTAATCTTGTTGATTGGGTTAATCAAATTGGAAAGGGTAGCTATGACAACTAATTCATAGTGTGCATTAAGGATAGTTTCCTGGAGCATTGTCATGGAACCAACTGAGAGCAGGCTATTTGGGATCTGATATGGGTATTGAGGCAGGTTTAATAAATGGGAAGTAGTGGTCATAATATTATGGAATTTAATTCTCATTTTGAGTGAAAAATTAGGTCAAACAGCTGTGTTTAACTTAAATGAAGGAAATTGCAATGAAATGAGGATAGAGTTAACTATAAAGTGAACTGGATGAATAGATTAGCAAGCAATGACAGATGTTTAGGGAGGTAATTCATGACTGAGCAAAAATATATCCAAGTAAGGAGGAAAGTTTCTAACAGATGGATAAACCAACATGGCTCATAGGGAGAGACTGAACAGGCTTGGGGTTATTTTCCCTGGATCATCGGAGGCTGAGGGGTGACCTGATTTTTTTTAAAAAAAAAAAAAAAAAAGTTTATAAAATCATGAGGGGCATGGATAGGTTGAATAGCCAAGGTCTTTTCCCCAGCGTGGGTGAGTCCAAAATTGGAGGGCACAGGTTTAGGGTGAGAGGAGAAAGGTTTAAAAGGGACCTTAAACCTCGGCACTCTAGTTTTGGACTCCCACACCCTAGGAAAAATAGTTATTCACTCTATCCATGCCCCTCGTGATTTTATAAGCCTCTAATGACTTAGTGTTTGAGTGGAAACTCAACCTATAAAACTTTGAACAGGTGGCAAATAAAATGCTGAACAAAAGGACAAGTTTATAATAACGCAGTGTGGAGCTGGAGGAATGCAGCAAGCCAGGCAGCATCAGAGGAGCAGGAAAGTTGACATTTTGGGTCTGGACCCTCCTTCAGAAATGGGGGAGGGGGAAGAAGGGAGCTCAGAAATAAATAGAGGAGGGATGCAGCTGGGGAAGGTAGATAGGATGGAGATGGATGAGTGCAGGTAGGGAGTGGTGGGAACTAGTCAGTGAGGTGGGAGAGGAGATGGGCAGGTTGTGTCAGGTCAAGGAGGTGGGGATGAGAGGGAGGGTAACATTGCCTGGCTGTCATATATTTCAGGACTCCTTATAGATTGACCCAAAGCTTCAGGCTTTATGCTTCATGCTACACATTTATGTTCAGAATTTTTGAAGGGTATATTCTCAAAGATCCAGCATTCCTTATTATTCTTTAGATAGGGAGATTTATGGAATCATTTGAACAAAAACGAGCGTAGGTACCTCAAATGGGTTGCAAAACTAAAATGCTGCGGATGTTCACCATCCAAGATATAAAATATGAAAATGTTGGAAATACAGTCAACAGGTCAGTCAGCATCAATGGAGAGAGAGAATTAATGTTTTGGATTAATTATTTTTTTGTCAAAGTAGATTCAACAATTTTAAAGTAGCCTCGGAGGTTGGGAGAGGGGAAAGAACAAAAAAGGTTGTCAAAGAGTGCGATAAAGGAGAGTCTGAATGACATTGGAGAAGAGATTTGGAATTTGGGAGTCCTAGAAAATTGGGTTAAGAACTGCTTAGCAGAGAGAAAATAGTGTCAGAGTTGAAGGCAGCTTCTAAGAATAATTGAAATTAGGTGGCTGTGTCCCATTCTGCTCTGGGATCATGACTGTTTGCTAAGTCCGTCAAGAGTTTTGACATGGCTAGAAGTGTTTTTTAAATTGCAGTTGTTTCAAAATTTTGACACAATTCTGAAGTTTAATTGAAACTTCAAATCGATATTAATAAAACATGAAACATCTAAAAACGTAAGAAGCAGTGCAATGTTGATAAAGGTGGTGTAGCATATCTTGGTTAAAAATAATTAAAGTTGTAATATTTAGAGGCTGGAGCTTCAAAAGGAGATGGCTACGAACAAGACTACCTGCTTGTGTGAGAGATAATAACTGACTAGTTATGCTGAATTGCCTGTTCAGATGCAGTAGCAGTTTGTAGGATATAGAACCAAACAATCAAATGTATTTTGACTAACTGTCCTGAAATTTATTTTAATGTAAATTTTTTTTATGGAAATACTAAGTGCTTCTAGATGAATTGTTACCAAGATCTGAAATCAATTTTAAGATCACGGTACACTATTTCTAGGAAGAAGGCTATTTAATCTTGTTTCATGATCCAGAAATAATTCATAGGTCCACCATGATACAATGTCCAAGAAATAAATTGTTTCAAATAAAAGAAAAATGCTGCATATAAAATAAATAAAATACAAAATACTGGAGAAATTAAGCAAGTCTGGCAGCGTCTACAGAGGAAGAAACAGTTAGTGTTTTGAGTCTGATATAACTTTCTTCAGAACAATTTTCTCTCTCTCTCCCTCTCTCTCCCTCTCTCTCCCTCTCCCTCTCCCTCTCCCTCCCCCCCCTCCCCCCCCCCCTCCCCCTTTCCCCTCCCCTCCCCCCCCCCCCCTGCCTCGCCTCTCCCTTCCTCCTTCGCGCGCC